GTGTGTGTGTGTGTGTGTGTGTGTATACACATTACAATTTTCTAACATTATGAGCTTTTGGAATTAAGATATACAAACTCCAGAATATGGTTAATACTTTACTAATCAAATATCAGACATTCTGAGTAGATGACCTTTTATTTAAATGTTTATATATGTAGAAACATACAATGTGTGTTCTATTTTTGCCTTTTCAATTCTCCGATACCTGCTTAAATAGTTCATGATAGTAGATATTCTCTGGTAAAGTAACTATTGTGGTGTCTGTTTTTCTGATTCGACCTTGGCTAAATACACAAGAAAACAGTAATTCCAATCAAAATCCTAATGGAAAAATTTTAAAAACCTTTCACAGCTATTAAAATGCTTCATCCAGAAGAGAAAAAGAATCTAGCAACAACAGAAAAGCCTCTGAAGAAGTATAAAGGCGGGGCTAGGGAGAGATGTCATTGCCCTACCAAATGTTCCTGCCTGTTCTGAAGCTGTATCAATTTTAAGGAGTGTGAAACTGGCACAAGAAAAGAGACAATGTAACAAGCCAGAAGGAACAAAAGTAGACACAAATATTAATGGCAATTTTATGATATCTCACAATTATTTTTAAAAAATTAAACAACTCCAACTTACACCAAAATTGGTTTGGGATAGATTTAAGAGTTACACGTCCCCCAGTGTAACACTTGGTTGAGGCAAGACTCCTTAATGGATGTTAATACCATTGGATGAAAGAAACAGGATATTTACATGGTGGGAAAGTTATCGCCCCACAGGTTACTCACTAGCTTTGAAGGCAGGTATCTGGTGGTCACCACCTTAACTATTGTAGTAAAAAATACTTAACCCAAACCTAATCAAGCCTCTAGACCTGACTTCAAGTTTAAAGAAGATGAGGGTATGGGGCGCCTGGGTGGCTCAGTCGGTTAAGCATCTGATTTCACCTCAGGTGATGATCTCACGGTAGGTGGGTTTGTGGGTTCGAGCCCCGCGCTGGGCTCTGTGCTGACAGCTTGGAGCCTGGCGCCTGCTTTGGATTCTGTCTCCCTCTCTCTCCTTGCCTCTCCCTTGCTTGTGCGCTCTCTCTCTCTCTCTCAAAAATAATGAATAAATAAACATTAAAAAAAAAAAAGACTCACAAATTTACGTACAAATTTCAACTTTTGGGTCACACATAAGCACCATAAGCACATGGCACACGATCAACTGGGAAAAATACATATGCAACACATTTGACAAGAAAAGTTGAATATTCTTGTTCTGTATTCCAGTCCTGACAACTCAAAAGAAAAATCAGAAATATGGAAAAACAGAGCCCAGTCTGAACATCGCTTCACTCCTGGGCTCTGTGCTCTCTTAGGCAAACTCCTTAACCTCTTGGAGCCTTTGTTTTGTCATCAGTGTGTTGCCAGTGACAACCTTAAAGCGCTGATGTAAGGACTAGAGGCACTGGTCCTGTGCTTGACATATAATAGCCTCCTAATAAATGGTGGTTATTATTATTTTTCACTGTAACTCATATTCTACCTTTGCTACAATTCTTTTTTTTCCAGGCGCCACAATTTTTTTCTTCTTCTGCGTGTGTCTGGGTGTTATAGTACTTTATGCATACTTGCCGAAACTGGAAACAACCCTGTTATGAACTGAATAGTATCCCCGCCCCCCAAAAAATGTTAAAATCCTAACCCCCAGAACCTCAGGATGTGACCTTATCTGGAAACGGGGTCATTGCAGACATAATTAGTTGAAGGATGCAATCATACTGGAGTGGAGTGAATCCCCTAATATGACTGGTGTCCTTATAAGAAGAGGGAAATTTAGACACAGACATACCAGAGGGAAGATGGATGCAAAGACACATTAAAGAAAACTGCCGTGTGACCACACTGATGTATCTCCAAGCCATGGAATGGCAAAGATTGCCAGCAACCACCAGAAAGTGGCAAGAGGCAAGGGAGGATTTTCCCTTACAGGTTTCAGGGGGATCACGGCCCTGCTGAGACTTTAATTTAGGACTTGCGGCCTCCAGAACTGTGAGAAAATTAACTTCTGCTGTTTTAGGCCACCCAGGTTTTGGTATTTTGTTGTGGCAGTCCCTAGAAAGCTAATGCAAACCCGAATATCCTCCAATGGGTGAATATAAAACAAACTGTGGTACATCTACACAAAAGAATACAAGATGAGTGAATCACAAAGACAGGCTGAGTGAAAGCAGCCCGTCTCCAGAAGTTACATCCTGTATGATTCCATTTATGTAACATTCTGTTACAGGCAAGTCGACAGGGACAGAGAACAGCTCAGTGTCTGCCAGGGGTGGGGTGGGGCCAGAGTTTGACTACAAAGGGGAAGCGGGAGGGAGAGTTTTGGAGTCACAGAGCTGCTCTGTGGCCTGATTGTGGCTCTGGTTACATGAATCCATGTATGTGTTAACAGTTACAGAACTGTATGTCCAAAGGGAGTTAATTTTACAGTCTGTTAATTTAGGTATTAAAAAAAAAAAAGATATACACACACACACACACACACACACACACACACACACACATATGCCCAAATAAATATCTTTTTTTAAATGCTTTAAAAGTGGGGCACCTGTGTGGCTCAGTCGGTTAAGCATCTGACTCTTGATCTCAGCCCACGGTTCGTGAGTTCGAGACCCACATTGGGCTCCGAGCTCTTGGTACAGAGCCTGTTTGGGATTCTGTCTCTCCGTCTCTCCGCCCCTCCCCTGCTCGTTCTCTCTCTCTCTCTCTCTCTCTCTCAAAATAAACGAATAAACTTAAAAAAAATTGATAAAAATACTTTAAAAGAAATTTCCCACCTGGGTGTCTGCCAGAAAGGTGGCTTTGTGAAGGCCCTGCCACACCAGCCCTTATGTTCTGTGAGCCTGTTCTTCCGTCCGTAAAGGGAAGGAATCTGTCTCGAGCAGTGGTTTTCACAGCGTACCCCTTTCCGCGCGCCCCGAATTGTGTCCTTGGACAGTCCTTTTATGGAAATGGGGGTGGCAATGGGTTTAGAGAGAAAGGGCATTCAAAAGCCACTGGGCTCTGGGCCCACGTGTCTTTAATGTTTGTATTTTTGAGAGAGAGAGAGAGAGAGAGAGCGCGCGCGCGCGAGCATGAGCGGGGGAGGGGCAGAGAGAGAGGGAGACACAGAATCTGAAGCAGGCTCCGGGCTCTGAGCTGTCAGCACAGAGCCCAACTCGGGGCTTGAACTCACAGACCATGAGATCCTGACCTGAGCCGAAGTGGGACGCTCAACCGACTGAGCCCCCCAGGTGCCCTGTCTTATGTATTTTGTCTCAAATCTTCTGGGTTAGAATAGCTGCTCCCAAGCCAGAGCCAGGTTCCTGGGGAGTTTGTACAATCCTGGATTCCAGGGCCTACTCTGGGGCTCACTCATTTGACCCTTTGGCAAGTTCCCCCACGGATCTCAGGGGATGCTGGGACACTGGCTGTAATTAATGGTCAGCAGTGCTAAACGAGGCCTTGGAGGGGGGTGGGCAGGGGCTGGGTGGGTGCTGGAATTGTACTGCTTGTTTCTTGTTTGCACCTGCGTGAAGGATGAACCACAAGGAGACAATGGAAACTCCGAAAGGGCTCTAACTCCAGGCCCCCTCTGAGGGAGGCTCAGAAAGAACCTGAAATCATGTGTTGTTACACACAGGATGATTTTGTGCAAAAGCACTTGGTAGACAACCAAGTGGCTCTGCCCAGATAGGGGAAATGCCATTGTGAGGACGAGTGTGGCTGACCCCCAGCCAGCAGGGCCAAAGAGTATCATTAATAACCAGAGCTGCCCTCTACTCTAAGCTTTAAACCATTCATGGGCTGGGTAAAATGCTAAGGACTCTAATCCCTACACCCATCTTGTGAGAGTCACGTGTCACTCGTTTGACAGGTGAGGAAACAGAGGCTTTCAGGAGCCCCAGATCACAAGAGGAAGAGGTGTCAGATGTGACACGGCTGGAAGCTCCAGCCTTCAAAGTCAAGACCCGTGAGAGGGACCCTTGAAGCCTGATATCAGGCTCTCTCTCTCTCTCTCTCTCTCTCTCTCTCTCTCTCTCAGAACATGCTCCGGATAAGGGGATTTGATGTCCCTTTTCACAAAGGCCGGTGGAGGTTGTCAAGGGCACCCTGAAACCCTGGCATATAGTACAGAGCTCACAATCAAAATTGTTTCAAATTTATATAGTGGAATGGCTTTTTTGAAAACTATTTTAGGGGCACCTGCATGGCTCCATTGGCTAAAGCGCCGGACTTCGGCTCAGGGCATGATCTTGCGGTTCATGGGTTCGAGCCCCATGTTAGGCTCTGTGCTGATAGCTCAGAGCCTGGAGCCTGCTTCAGGTTCTGTGTCTCCCTCTCTCTCTGCATCCCCCCATCCCCCCGCCCTCTCCTCCACCCCCCCTCCAACACTCAGTCTCTCAAAAGTCAACATTTTTTTAAAACCCTGTTTTCTATGCAAATCTAATGTAGAAAAGCAGCGTTGGGCCACTGCGGTCAAAGGTGGGGGCAGGGGTGGCTTCAGGCTCCCCCAGGGCTCCCAGGGTGCACCCCAGTAAAGGGTTCTAACAAGAAGTTGGCACTTACTGTGAGAAGTCCAGGCGGTGCCATGATGTCTAAAGCTCTGAGTTTGGGTTGGAAGGAACCAGGTGGGATCCTGGGGGACTCACTCCTGGGCTATTCAGCCTAGGGCAGGGCGCAGGATACGGGTCCATCCGAGCTGAGTACCACCTTCCCACCCCCCATCCCCAACTCTGGCCAGGCCGGGGTCAACCATGACGCCGCGGCTCACAGGATAAGAAACATCGTCATCTTGTTGCATGCAATGAATTTTATTCTTTAAAGATAAAAGCTCCCTAAGCTAAAAAGTCCAACACCATCCCCTTTTCCTTGCCCTTCTAAACGGTATCCGCTTGTTCTCTGTCCCAACTCAAAGTTCGACGTTCAGGTTGAATGTTGGCATTGCCTCCTCAGCAGGTGTCCGGGGCTGGCCAGGACGGCTCACATCTGCATCATCACATGGACCTCCTTCTCGTAGATGTCGGGGATCACACCCACGGGGGAGTTGACCATGTGGACGGTGTTCTTGCTGAACAGCTTGAACTCGTAGTGGATGAGCTGTTCCCAGAAGCCGTTGTTGGGCCGGATGATGGGGCGGCACGACTTGGTCCACGCGTGGGCGTCCAGCAGCGACATGGCGTGGTACTTCATGAGGTAGGCCAGGCAGAGGGTGGCCGAGCGGCTCACCCCCGCGGCGCAGTGCAGCAGCGTGCGGCCCTGCTGCATCTCGACGCTGTGGATGTGGTCAGCGATCGGGTCAAAGAAGTCGCAGAGGCGCGAGCTCGGGACGTCAGCCACCGGCACCTGGATGTACTGGATGTCCTTGTAGAAAGTGTTGACCACTTCCGCCGAGACGTTGATGACCGTGGTGATGTGGTTGCTGGACAGCATGTCCTGGTTGTTGGCCGACACGCCGTTGCTGATGTACAGGCTGCTGGTTATTTGGGAGAGGTCATGGACGGTGGGCTGGCATACAGCCGGAGCCGGGAGGGGTGACGGAGAGGTCATCACGGTGGTGGGCAGTGATCTCTCTCCGAGAAAGTTCGGAGCGCCGAACTCGGGCGAGTTCACTTAGCAGCAACCTGTGAATGTCTCAGGCGATGGTCTGGGGGTACAGAAAACCAAGTCACCGGTCACCACCCCTTCCCCGCCCCGGGGACATCACAATCCTACTGCCCGCCCCGCCCCTCCCGGTTTCCATGGCGATGGCAACTTGGCCACCCAGCCAGGTCTTCAGAGAAACCCCAGATCTCTTTTTATCTCTGTCCGTAGCCCTTCATTTTCCAAAGCCCCAATTCTTATCTGCTGGACTTTTAAAAATGTCCTATTACAAGATATCCAGTATATGCTTCAACTGCTGGTTCGCACCAAACACAATATCAATGAATGCTTCTATTTTATTAGCATTGAGGGACCGGGCTTAGACTTTTTTGACAAAGTAGCAATATCATATTTTAAGTTGGGGAACAGCCTTTGGCTCATGTGATACGATAATCTCTGTAAAAGTGTAGTGAGATACGGGGTTGGCTGGGTGAGCTGCCCTGATCCTTGTTTGCAGACCCTAGCCATAGAATTCGGTTCCTTAATTTTTTCAGTTTTTTAATTTAATTTTTTTTTACTTTACATCCCAATGAGCAAGGACAAAATAGATGCCAGCCTGTTTGTGAAGGGTCGAGGGAATGATAACCTCAAAGGACAACACGTTTTTCTTTCTCCTGATTGGCATAATCCGATTATTGTGCATTGCTTAAATTGGCAGTCTCCACAAATCTATCTGGAAGAAAACAGAACACAAATATTAAGGACACATGAAAACTGTCTATTGGAGATAGCTCACTTGGGCTAAAATTATTGGAGACAGTTTCGCCTCACATTTAAGATATGGAATCATAGGGGCTCCTGGGTGGCTCAGTTGGTTAGGCGTCAGACTCTTGATCTCGGCTCAGGTCATGCTCTCACAGTTTGTGAGTTCAAGCCCTGCATCGGGCTCTGTGCTGACAGTGTGGAATGTGCTTGGGCTTCTGTCTCCCTCTCTCTTTACTGCTCCCCCGCTTGCTCTCTATCTTTCTCTCAAAAATAAATAAAAATAAACTTAAAAAAAAAAGATATGGACTCATAGATTGTACATCTATGGAGTGACGTGGAACCCCCTGCAGAGTATTGGAGCCTAGTTATTTCATAAATGTATGCTTCCTACACTTTAAAAATGTAGTAAAATTGGGGCCCCTGGGTGGCTCAGTCGGTTAAGCATCAGACTTTGCCTTGGGTCATAATCTCGTGGTTTGTGAGTTCGAGCCCCAGGTCAGGCTCTGTGCTGACAGCTCAGAGCCTGGAACCTGCTTTGGATTCTGTTTCCCTCTCTCTGCCCCACCCCCACTTGCGTGCTCTCTCTCTCTCTCTCTCTGTCTCTCAAAAATGAATAAATGTTAAAAAAAAATTTTAATAAAAATATAAAAACGTAGTACAATTAACCAAAATAATTTCATATACTATTCTCAAAGACAAGCATGACTCATATTAAATAGATCATTTATGTATTCTTTCAACTAATATTCTGTGATGCCCTTTTGTCTAAGGGATGTTGGATGCCTTAAAACTCCACTACGGGGCTTTTCCTAGGTGGGTGAGGAGTTGATGTTTTTCTCCTCCTGAGTTTGGAAACAGGTGACTTTCAGACTCCCACTTACCTCTACTTTTCCTTAGTATTATTTTTTAAGATTTTATTTTTAAGTAATCTCTATACCCAACGTGGGGCTCGAACTCACAACCCTGAGATCAAGAGTTGCACACTCCGCCCACTGAGCCAGCCAGGGGCCCTCACTTTTCCTTATTATTTAGGGAAGAAGATATATAAGGGGCTTCCCAAGGGCACACCCTCTTCCTACCACTGGGAAAAGACCCTGGACATCAAGAACTAGTTAACACTCAGATTTCTCAATTCAGTAGTCAAGGCCCATTCCAACCTGATCTAAGCCTGCCTTTCAAATCTCATGCATTCACCTTTTTTTTTTTCTTTTTTAAAAATTAATTAATTAATTAATTAATTTATAGATTGCACGAGCAGGGGAGAGGTGCAGAGGGAGAGAGAGAGAGAGAGAGAATGTATTTTTATTTATTTAAAAAAATATTTTAAGTTGATTCATTTATTTTGAGAGAGAGAGGGAGGGAGAGAGCACGTGTATGGGAGGGGCAGAGAGAAAGACAGAATCCCGAGCAGGCTCCTCGCCATTAGTGCAGAGCCTGAGGTGGCACTCGAACTCACGAACTGAGAGATCATGACCTGAGCCGAGATCAAGAGTTCAACCCTTAACTGATTGTGTCCCGCCCCGAGAATCTTTTTTTTTTTTTTTTAGATGTTTATTTTTGAGAGAGAGCACACACACACACACACACACACACACACACACACGAGCGGGGGAGGGGCAGGCAGAGAAGGGGGGACAGAGGATCTGAAGCGGACTCCACCCTGACAGCAGAGAGCCCGATTCGGGGCTCGAACTCACGAACCGTGAGATCATGACCTGAGCCGAGATCAAGAGTCCGATGCTTAACCGACTGAGCCATCCTGGCGCCCCTGTTCACCAAATTTTTCTTAAGAATGTATTGTGTGGCAGACATTTTCACCCATATAATCCTTTAGTTCTGACCAAACAAATCCAGTGCTCTTGGTAAATAGAAAATATACATTCCTACTTCCTTACCTTCCTCATGCCATTCCTCTCTCTTGAGAAACCTTTCTTGCTCCTGTCTGTTTACTGAATCCTATCCAGGACTCAAGACCCAGCTTGATTAACTCAAAAAAAAAAAAAAAAAAAGTATCAGCTGAGCATCCAATCTGTGTCAGGTACAGTTCTAACCTTGTGTAGATTCAACACCGCACACACAGGCCCAGATGTCAAAGAGCTTATAGTTTGGTCAGAGAGACAGATAGTCATAAAAGAGTCCAGAAGAGAGGGTGATTCATTGTTTTCTGTGTGTGTGTTTGGGGATGGGGGGCTGTAGGGGGAGGTCATGAAAGGCTTCACAGAAAACACGATCTGGAACAAAGCTTTTTGTTCATTGGTTTGTTTGTTTGTTTTTTAATTACTTATCGTTTATTCGGCCCAAGTTTTTGTCTTGAAAAATTTCAAACCTACAGAAAAGCTGCAAGAACAATGAGGGGCCGTTTACCCTTCACCTATAATTGCCCTGTTGTTAATACTTCACCACTGCATTCCCTTTTTCTATTTAGATACACAAATACACATATTTAGTTGTTTCCTTGTTTCTTTTTGCTGAACCCACGGGTTGTTACCTGCAGATATAGCAACACTTTATTTAGCCTTTTAACGTTCAGCACAGCAGTATCTCCTAAGAGCAAGTACATTCTCTACCTAACCACGGATACAATGACCATACTCGGGAAACTTAACATTGACCGAACATTATTATCTCATATATAATCTATACGCAAAATTCACCAATCCTTCCGATGATGTTACTTGGAACATTTCACACGTGTACATTAACATTTGGAACGTTTTTTGCCCCCTTCATCCAGGATGGAATCAAGGATCACATGCTGAATTCGGCATCTTTTCCTTTGAAACAGCTCCTGAGCCTTCGGTTTGGCCTTTCTGGACATTGACATTGTTGAAGAGTCCAGGCCAGTTTTGCAGAACCGCTCTCAGTTGGGACGTGTTCCATCGTTCCTTCAAGATTCAACTCAGGTGAAATGCTTTGCCAAGAACACTTCCAGAATGTGCCATTCTCAGTACATCGCTGTGGGGGGGCATAGGATAGCTGTTTGTCCCATTAATGATGGTGGTAATTTTGACCACTTGGGTTAAGGTGACATTAGCTAGCTTTCTACGTTGTTTGAAGATAACTTTTCCTCTTGGTAATTAATAAGGAATACGTGTTGCACGGTGTTGGAGGAAATCATCAAGAGGACATAACTGCTGGTTGACCTATGAGTTGGACCTGGGCCATCAGAGGCTCCTCATCTCCTTCCCTGTCTTTGGAATCCTTGGAATGTGCACTCCACTCGCCTTCCCTGCACTAGAAGATGCCCCAAGGACATAGCCTTGAGATAGTAATGTGGTGTTGAGACCATCTGGACAGTATATATGGCTGTACCCAGTTAAGGCTTTTATATAAACTTTTAACATTCTGGCGGGTGGGTGGGGACCTCTACTCATCTAGTAGCCGCCCTGGATAAACTTTGTAAGTTTCCTTGTTTATTAAAACTGCCACCTACTAATCTGGAGCGGTCTGCCTCTTTCTTTGATCTCTCCTTGCCCTGTGTTTTTGGGGGTCACTTTGCGAACCAACAGGTGGTACTTGGAGTTTGTGAGAATATCTTTGGAATAGACTTGGAAGGATGAATACGAGTTTTCCACGCAGACCAGAAGGGGGTGGGGAACCTAAGGGCCCTAAGGTGGAGGTGGGAGTTGGCCTCCCTGAGTCCTGAGCACTGTGTGTGTGTGTGTGTGTGTGTGTGTGTGTGTGTTTAAATGTTTCTTTATTTTTGAAATACAGAGAGCATGAGCATGCACGGGCAGGGGGAGGGGCAGAGAGAGGGAGACAGAGAATCCCTAGTGGGCTGTGGGCTCCACACAGACAGCAGAGACGGGGCTCCAGCTCATGAACCATGAGATCGTGACCTGAGCTGAAGTTGGTCGCTTAACCGCCTGAACCACCTAGGCGCCCCGAGAGTTGTTCTATGTTAATTCCATTTCCAAGTGTGGCTGAGTCTACTGCACCAGTGTCCACAGCCAGCAGCCAGGCAGCTCCCTAGTACTCGATTCTGGGCTCAGTCTGGCCCTTGGTTTCTGGACGGTAAGGGGATATGATGGATATGAACATGGAAGTCTTTAACACCTTCCAGTCCAGAAGACAGGTAATAGGAGAAAATGATTGTGACTTGTTTGTTAGGTGAAAAAAAAATCCGGTTTATTAAAGTAGGGACTTTTTCATCAAAGGGTAATATATACATATGTGCATTCATCATAGGTATGGATCATATG